GACCTAGAGGGACCAAGGTGCCGAGTGCGGTCCAGGCCGGTGCACCAGTGAGGGGCCCTGGCTGGCCTGGCTGGTCTTGGGAACTGCTGAGTGAGGGGGCGAGGGGCTGTGGGAAGGGGGCCTGGCCTTGTGCTGCGAGGGAGCTCCGAGGGCTTAGAGAGGGACATGTTCATGGCTGATAAACCTTTGATCCAGTACGCTCTCCCCTGGACATCCTGGGGTCAGTGTCCCTGGCGGTAGGGCAGACCATCGCGTGGCCCTGGAGGAGGGGCTGCTCAGTGTCCAGGCTGTGGCTTCTGCCAACCTGCTTTCCCTCAGTCCCTGCCTGGAGGTGCCCTGCAGGCCTGGCCAGCCCGCCCTCTTGCCTGCAGGGCCTTCCTGCCCCTGCACCGCCACCCCCAGCCCCCAGCTGTCTGGTACTTTCTAAACAAGCACAGGGCTGGGCAGCCCGGGGGGGCCTTGGGTGTTTGGACTCGGGCTGTGCTGGGGCTGCAGCTCCCGTCCCGGCTGTGAACGCCTTCGAGCTCCTGTTCCAGGAACCCTGTTTTCTCACCCCTGTAGGCAGCAACGCTTGGCCTGTCCCCACCGCTGTGAGGAGGAAGGAAGGGCCAGGGAAGACGGGGGCCAGTGAGAGGACAGAGGCTGCCATGTGGGCGCCAGCAGCCCGAGGGCCCCGGTGTGCAGACAGGGAAGCGGATAGGAGACGCGGTGGGCATGCTGGCAGGCGGCCAGGACTGTGCTGCTGTGGCCATGGCCGACCTCAGGCCTGGGCTACTCGGATGGGTGGCTGGGCCATACCCAGGCGAGACCTCGGGGACGTGGGTGAGGTGGTGTTCAGCCACTTGTGTCTCTCTGAGGACCTCAGGCCAGGCTGCTGGTCCCTGGGCCTCCTTGTCCATGGCAGAGGGGAGGGCCTTGGTGTCCTAAGGGATCTGACCCCTGTCTCCTTGGGGTGATATTTCTTTTTACTTTGGGTCTGGACCCCTCTCCCCCATTACAGCCTCCTGGACTTCTCATCTCTGCCTCAGTTTCCCCAGCCTTTCCTCAAAGCAAAGGTCATTTGTCCCACCTCTGACCCCCCTGTAGATGCTGTGTTAAGATTTACTTCGAGGTCTCCTCAGTTTTCTGTGTGCAGATGTTGGCCAGCCTGCCTCATGAGGCCACATGGGGCCCTGCCCTGCTCCCACCCTGTTGAGTCACTCCCAGTCCCCAGGGTCCCTCCCCACGTGCCTTCTCTCCAACCATGGGTGGGGCTTTCCGCAAGGCTGTGCCCACCTGTTGGACCTCAGGAATCCAGCATGGACCGTGGCAGGCTCGCTCTGGCTCCAGGCCACCTAGTCCTCTCACATGCGGGGGCCCGCGTCTCACCTGTGGGGCACTGCCAGGCCAGCTGGGCCTCGGTCCTGGGAGCGGGCCAGGTTAGGCCGAGGCCTGGCGGTGGGGGCTGGGCCTTGTGGGGAACCACAGCTGTGGTGGATGCCTCCCGAAGGGCCACACTCTGTGCCCCAGGGCCCAGGACAAGCTGCTGAGGTTCCTCCTGGAGAGAGCTGCCTGTGTGACAGCAGACCCTGGCCGTCCCCTCTGTGAAATGGGAACGGTGGGCTCTGTGTCTCACGGGGTTGCTGAAGAGACCGAGGGAGCGGAAGCCCCAGCAGCCTGGGACAGCTGTTGTCAGCTGAGCAGGAGCCCCGGGGCTGGGTCCCCCTGCCCCCCAGCCTGGGGCGTGAGCTGTTCCCAACACTGTTTACCCAGCGGGCGGGTCGTGGGTGTGGTCTGGGCAGGGCGCAGCTCCAGGAAGGAAGTATGGCTGCCTGCCCTGCCAGGGTCATGGGCCGTTCTGGAGGGCTGGCTCCTCCGGGCCCTGGCGCTGGCGCTCCTGGACAGTGGTGTGACCAGGGTCATAAAGTGGATGGTGTGAAGCCCAGGCCACTTCCCGTTGATCCTCCCGGGAAGGGACCAGACTCCAGCCCATGCCCACCCAGTGTTCGCAGCTGTGGGTTCTGGCCCAGGTCAGGGCCCGGGTTTCTAGCCGGGGCTGTGTGTCCATCCTAAACATGCAGGGACTGCCAGAGGGGTGTGTCCTGTGAGGGGACAGAAACTTGCCTGGTAGGGGGCAACTCCTCCAACCGCCTACCTGTCCCAGCCTGCTGTGCAGAGAGGGGGTGGTAGGCTGCAAAGACCCCGAGACAGACTGGCCGAGGCCACAGTGTGTACCTGGGGTCTTGCAGGGAAGGCTCAGCTTGTAGGAGAGAGATGGAGCCACACTCCCGAGAGATGGGTTGGGACTTGGGAGGGTGACAGGAATGGGGCTGCCCAGGGGTCTGGCTCTGGGGGTTCCTGGGCATCAGCTGGGGGAGGGGCTCTGTGCCAGCACAGGCAGGCTGGCATCAGGGGCCCAGGCTGTGGTGTTGGAGGTGGGTGGGGAGGTGGAGCCCAAGGAGTGGTGTGGGCTGGCACCTGGGGTGGATGGGACAGGGGTGCAGATGGAGAGGAGGGTGTCAGAGAGAACCCCCAGTCTATGGCCTGGGTGTTTGCGAAAGGTGGGCAGAAAGGTTTTAGGAGAGGCCTTAGAAGCAAGCTTCTTGGTCCAGGCTCCAGTCTGTGGCCACCTCCAAGGCCCAGCGCCTGTGGCTTGTCCTCTGCTCTCCAGCACCTTCACCCCAACTGTCAGCCTCTTGTGGTCAGGGTGTCACAGTCCCCACCCTTGCTGGGGGTTCTGCCCAGTGGCAGCCCAGAGAGGTTGGCTAGTCGGCCTGGTGACTTCCCAGCGGTCTAGCTCTCCCACAGGCCAGAGTGAGCTGAGTCTGCCCTTGAGTGTCCTCCCCGGGGGCTTGTTGGGGGACCACTGCTGCTGCTGTCATCTCCAGCAGGGACCCTATTGCTCCCTGGGGCTGGGGGCCTCCCAGCTTCCCCTTTCTCCTTGTCAACATCCCCCTCATTTGAGGTCCCTTTAATGGGGTTCAGTGGGTGATATGGGGGTGTTCCTGGCACCCATGGCGAAGGGCCATGAGCGTGCTGGCCATGGAGTTCAGGGTGCGTGTGCGCGCTCATGAGGGTGTGTGCGCGTGTGCGTGGGCATGCATCTGTATGTGTAAGTGGGCATGTGTGCACCTGTAGGCATGCATACACAGGCATGATGTGCACGTGTGTGCACGTGTGTGTGTGCACACACTAGTTGAGTTCTTAGAATCCTCAGCCTATTTTAGGTGCCCATGAGGTGCTCATGGGAGGGAATGAACCAGATGCCGTCCAGGTGGGTGGGGGGCAGCTTTGGGCAGGAGCTTATCTCCCGCTCCTGGACTCTGGCCAGCTTCTTCTGTAAATATTTTGGGCTTGACCGGCTACACGGTGTCCCTCACATCTCCTCAAGTCTGCTGCCAAAAGCAGAGTGCCTTGCCCTCCCAGGGAGCAGGACCCATGAAGAGTCATACGCAGGTGAGGGAAGGGCGGGAAAGGGGCTGCCCTCAGCTGCCCCCGCCCACACAACAGAATCTGGTGTTTATGCTGCCTCGGGGGACCCAGGACCACTGCCCACAGCTGGGTGCTCACACCCAGGCTGCTTCTTAATGCCTTCTCTGTCTCTGTCCCTCTTTGTCTCTCTCTCTCTCTATTTTAGTTAAAGCAGTCTTACAAATTAAGTCACATTTGTTAAAAGTTATACACATGCACCAAAGACACGTGTGGAATGTTTGGACCTGTGTTTTCTGAGATTGTTTTCCTGATACACCAGGAGTGGCTGATTCAGTCGATTTGACGTGGTGACATTCACTGTGCTGTGGCCTCCTGAATGTTGGGCACGTGGGTACTGAGGTACCCTCCCCTCTAGAACACCAGCTGCCCCAAGGCCGTGCCACAAACCATTTTTTAAATGGAAGCCGCCTGCCCAGTGCTTCCCTGGGAAGAGGGAAGGCCCTTAGTTGGGGCAGGACCTCGGCTGGGGGTGCCCTGGGTGCCAGCCGTACTCTTCGGCCTTAGCTGTGGTCCCCCAGGAGAAGGTGCCCCCCACCTTCTGTGCATTCTGCCCATGGCTCACATGGCCTTGTTGGTACCGACCCGTGGGAGGGTTCTGGCTCTACCCCCCATGCCTGGAGCTGCAGGTCCTAAGGGGGAGGGCCTGGGGCACTGGGCAAGGTGGTGTGGGTGACGTGCTCACCCGAGGGCCGTTGAAACGGTTCGCACAAAGGAGGCAGTCGTGCTCCGGGGGGCTCTGGTCTGGTGCACGCCTCTGTCCTATCTGGGCTGGTGGTGTGGCCTCCACCCCTGCCACGCAGAGCACATCATGCACCCAGGGCCCGAGTCTTGGGGGCCACCCTGGGCCTGGGGCTCGGGACCCTTCAAGGGACATGTTCGAGAGATCTGAGGCTTGCCTGGGGGTCTTCCTTGAGTCCCCAGCCCCTCAGAGGGGAGGGAGAAGATGACAAGGCTGTGAGCAGGAGACGTGGGTGGTTTGGGGACCCAGGACCACTGGCCACAGAGCAGCCAGACCCCCAAAGGCCAGGTCAGAGCACATCTCTAAGCCACAGATGCCCCTTCTCAGGCTTCCTTGGAGCTTTCCAGCTGCGAGCCCGCGTTCCCCCTGTGGCCACAGACTGAGATCCGGACACTCTGTGCCTCTGTCAGACCAGAGAAGTGTCTGGCCACAGGCCCTGCCTCACATGACTTTGTAGTTGGCGTGAGTTGGGCCAGGGATGCCTGGCTGGGGACACATGTAGGGGCACTGGTCTTTGTCTAATGTTCCAAAATACCACCCTAGACTCGGGCCAAGTGCCGGCCACCCAGACCTGCTAGAGAGTGAGGGGCTGGGACCTTGGAACCTGGGGCTGGGTGGCAGGGAAGCTGGTTGGGCCGGGGGTCCTCACGTCCTCACTGTCCGTCTCTGTCTCCCCACTGCCAGGTCCGGCCTCTTCGGCCTGCCCCTGTCGGCTCCGCTGCCCCAGCCTGACAACCCCCTTGCCAGCAGCTGCCATGGCCAGGGCCCCGCGGAGGGGGACGGAGAGGTGATGCAGCTGGGGACGGGCCCCCCGCCTCCTCCCTGTGGGGACCAGCCCCCCGAGACCACCAGCCCCGAGGCGCCCCCACCCCTGGTGCCGCCGCTGCCCGCTGGGAGCCTGCCCCTGTACCCGCCCTACTTCGAAGGCGCCCCCTTCCCGCACCCGCTGTGGCTGAGGAGCTCGTACCAGCAGTGGGTGCCGCAGCCACCGCCCAGGACCATCAAGAGGACCCGGCGGCGTCTGTCCCGCAACCGCGACCCCGGCCGGCTCATCCTGAGCACCATCCGCCTGCGGCCGCGCCGAGTGCTCTGCGAGAAGTGCAAGAGCACCCTGAGCCCCCCAGAGGCCAGCCCGGGGCCCCCCGCTACCCCCAGGACGCGCAAGAGGCCGGGCAGCGGCTCCAGCAGGCAGCACCACAAGCCCGGGGAGCCGGAGGACGGAGACCGCATGGCCTCGGCCACCGCGAGGAGGAGCAAGGGGGAGCGGCGGGACGGGGACAGGGCCCCTGCGGAGCCGGTGCCCCGGAGCCCGGTCATCCGGATCTCCTACAGCACGCCCCAGGGCAAGGGCGAGGTGGTCAAGATCCCCTCCCGCGTGCACGGCTCCCTGGAGCCCTTCCTTCCCCCGCAGGCTGGGC